ACACTAACTGCGGTTACTGAAACCACGCCTTCTTTCTTTGCGTGAACATTTGGGTGGCATTATGCAAATATTTCCACATAGTGAGGTAGATATGTGGGGGCGTGTTAGAACGAGCCGTTTTAGGGGTGTGTGGCAGAGTCTTAACTTTAATAAAGAATATCTCTTTGGTTTTGAGACTTTAGTCTTTGCAACTTCAGGGATCTTATCTATGCACAATCAGCTTGTAACACTCCAAAGAGAAATGAAAAATCGCATCATATGACCCCTTTAATAATTTAAACAGGCCTTTTAAGTTTGGGCAATAACTCCTGGCAGTGATGTGTTTTCGTGTAGTTGATTCTGTGCTAACTCTAATATTTATTTATTGTATTATTATTTTTTTTTTTAATGTTGTAGATTTAAGTAGCAAATGAGAATCGCTAAAAGGTCTTCTTAATGATTATCAGTTTGGTTTAAGATAATTAAAGCAACAGTTTTTCAATAACTAGAAGAATATGTAAAAGTATGGTATTTGGGGTAAACGCGCCCCTGCTGTTGGGGCGAAAGGCACAATAATTAACATGATAATTAATAGATGGCTGACTTTTCCAATAGTTGACATGACAGATGGTTAGATTCAGATGGTATAGCCTATTATGTTGGGTGTCCACCTTAGAGATAATCACCATGTTTAAAAACATCATATTTAAAAACATGATATTAATCATATCATATTATAAAATATAATTTGTTGTTACTACTGTAAATCTATATTAACTTATGGAATCTCCTTCAATGCTTTCTGAATCTTTACTTTTTATTTTGTTTCTGTATTTTAAAATATATTTTTATATTAACATTTTAATGACAGTATATTTATTGAACATTATTTATCAAACTAAGCAGAAAATAGCCTATTACAAACTTTGCTAAAGTGATTGTTTTGAACAAGTATTAACTTAGACAATGGGTATAAAAAAATATTTTAGCTAAAGTATTTATCAATACTATGCGCCTTTTACCCCGTGATTGTGAAACAAGAAACACCTCACATGATTTTACAGTGAAATGTGTCATTTTTCATGTTAATCAGGTCAATTTTGATCAAGAAAAATGCACTGTGGTTTTAATTCAGCGTAAATAGACTCGGCGCCGAAACTATCGCGGCACTGCTGAAGCACTGGCTTCAGAATGGCCTACATAAAATTATTTCTGCCGCTCTGCTCGACAGAGCAACATACGTATAAAAACTGAGCCGTATTGGGTCGGACTGTCCACACGGTATCTGTGACTGGACAAACGACCCAACGGAATGACCAGAGGTGTCGTTTCCCGATATTTTTGTTACCTGATTGAGTCTATAGGTAAGAGACAGCTTACTACAAGCCTATACTTGACGGCTGGTAAACATTTGTCGTTTTGTTTTGCTTAATTTGAATAAAGTGGTAAAGACTTGAGTAAAAGCCTGTCGACCATACTTTCTTATTGATATATTAAAAAGATTTTTTACATTGACAAAACAGGTAACATTAAGTTCCACTGAAGTGCCTTGAAATGCACAGCTTTATTCTGTGGTGTGTGCTACGGCTGCCTAATCGTTTTCACAAATACATGCCATAAAAAATAGATAACATGAAAATATGTATATAAAATACCAAAAAACATGGTTATTGGTTACCTACTATAGTTAAACCATGGTTTTTCTACACTAGCAATAGTTTAACCATGGTATTTGTAGTAAAACTGTGGTTATAGGCTACAATTGGTAATAAAAGCGCCCCCCCCCCCCCCCCCAAAAAAAAAAAAAAAACATGGTTAGCCTCCTATACTTTTACTATAGTAATACCATTGCTAATTTTCATAAAGGGATTGCGTATGATAATATGAAATAAATGTTTTAATAGATTATGACATCACAAAATATCAGGGAGTGAGATTTATTTGATTGTGATGCGAAGGAGGGTTACTTTAAACCCCATCAGAAATGGGTTGCGGTGCAGGGGGACGGGACTAGTGACAGATCATTGCAGGGTAAGTAGTGTAGCCTATCTGTGCTACCTGCTCAGTGCTACCTCCGGTAGATTGTCTGTTTATTAGTCATATGCATCTTCAGATCAGGTTTTTTAACTTATTAGAGGCACAGAACGCCACACAGCAACTTTTCGGCATTGCACAAAGCAAAAATCAATCAAAATCATCACAAAAAGTAAAGATCAAGTGTCTAACAAGGTCTCTGCGCATTAATTCGAATGGTTTGTTTTCCCTCACGGCATAAACGGTTATGACGTTTTTGTGGGCGTTCCCAGAGAACAAGAACAAAGTGATTATTATCATTTTTGTGACACAGAATGCCCCCTGTGAATTTCAGATGGGTCTTTTACAATGACAGTTTGCAATTTATGAGTAACATTTTAACATTACTTAGAGACATTTTATTCTACAAAAAAATCATACATTAAAAGTACCTAAGTTTTTATAGACCACAAATTTTTAATTTTTATATGTTCTGTGCCAAAATAATGACTTAGATTCTACATTTACACATATACACAGGGCCTTTTCTAGCCAATTTGACGCCCTAGGCGAAATCCCTATTGCCTTTGTCCCAATTATATATACTGTATATACACTACTTTTTTGTCTTTATCTGTTTTTTGTTCAATTTTTTTGTTGTTGTTTCTTGAAACATTGATTTAAAGTGTCAGTTATTGCATTATTATTTCAGTCAAATCTATAAAACCCCTTTTGTTACCCCAAACTACATATAAAAGCTTTATCAGTGGCATAAAAGTAACCAATGCAGCTACTTAATCATTTGCTACTCGTTAACGCGTTAACGTCCCCTTTAAATAACGTGACGCTCTGCCCTCTATGACGCTGCTCCCATTAAGCGCTGTTGGAAGTGAATTAATTGATTCAGCATTTCGAAACACCTCCGTAAGGATGCATTTAACTCGAAAAAGCGGTCTAATAAAGGATGTATTGATCTTGTGAATTAGCTAATTTTACTATACAAATATTTTTTAATTGGATGTTAAAGTTTATATGGGAATATTACATGACACGCTGATCCTTTAACAATGCATTGGCGCAAAAAACGCACACCTTTTGGACAAATCTGCCACAAATATTTGGACAAATGTGCCACAAAAGTGCCACAAATACTGCCTAAACAAAATACTGATTTTGTGCACTTTATTTACTGTACCAATATTTTCAATTGGCCTTTGAACTTAGCTTTATTGCATGGCAAAAAAAAGTGTTACCTTGCCAAATCACTGACCGGGCCCACTGATCTAATGGCATTGTTGAGCGCTCCAAATGCAAACTTTGCATGCAACAATCAGGCAGCAATTGACAGCACTCTGATCTAG